CAGCTTCATGTCCTCCCAGCAATGCAGGATGGATGCCTGGCAGGCCTGGCAGGGCCTCTAGGACCCTGAACATTCAATGGTAATTGCTTAGGGCTGGACATACCAGTTATGGAGTAGTCGGAAGGCAGCCTGTCTGTGAATCGCCTTTGGGCATTTCCTAAGCACCTGCTGTGTGCCAAGCACTGGGAAGCTCCATGGAGTCATCCCAGAGCCTATAGGCCCTCAGATGGCCTGACACGGAAGCACAGAACCCAGATCCTGGAAGGGCCCCTCAGGCAGCCCAGAAGCTGGTAGCCAGCCTGGCCTTGAGGGTTGGGGGTGGGAGATGCAAAGAATGCAGCTTTGTCCCTCACATGCTCCTCTGCTGTTGTCCCCTGCCTCTGGGTGAGGGCTGCGTGCCCATCTGGGTGACCATCCCTGGCCAGGGCAGCTGTGATTACACCCGGCTTAATGCAGGCATAATGCGATCACTGAGGCTCTCAAAATGCAGCGTTTGCAGGCTTAGTGGGCTGGATGTCACCTGATCAGGGCCCCATTCAGTACCACCGTGGCCTCAGGCTATCAGTGACCACAGAGGAAAAGGGAGGCCTACCATGGTGAAGGGGGACTGCCCGGGGGCAGGAGGGGCAGCGACCCCTCCCCCCAAGACCTAGGATCCAGTCTACTGCAATGGGAGCGTTTGGGACCATGGACTTGGAAATACATACTAGCTTCCACACTGCTTCCCTACTAAAGCCTTCCAGGGGCTTCTCACTGCCTTTTTTAATAAAACGACTTTATTGAGGTATAATGCACACACCATACACTGCAGCCATTTAAAGTATGTAATTTAATAGCTTTTACTATATTGGCAGATATGTACAACCATCACCACAATCAATCTTGTAACATTTTCATCGCCTCACAAAGAAACTGGGACCCTTTAGCGGGCAGTCCCCATTTCCCCTCTTCTCTGCGCTAGGCTGCCGCCAATCTCTACGCGTCTTTATAGATCTCATTGTAGATCCCATTATAGATATTGGTTACAAATGGGATCATTCACTAAGTGGCCTTCTTTGACCAGCTTCTTTCACTTAGCATGGTGTTTCCGGGGTTCATCTGCCAGCACCTCCCTCTTTTTACGGCTGAATAATGTTCCATCGTATGTGTACCCTACATGGTGCTTATCTATTACTCAGTTGATTAACATTGGGGTTTTCCCCTCATTTTTTAGCTGTTATGAATAATGCTGCTATGAAGATTCATGTACAAGCATTTTGTGGTCATACATCATTTTTCTTGGGCATTTATCTGAGAGTAGAATTGTTGGGTCATACAGTAGCTCTGTGTATAACCATGGAGGGACTGCCAGACTGGTTTCCAAAGTGGCTGCACCCTTTTGCATTCCCACCAGCGGAGTGCAAGAGGGATTTTATTTTTCCATATCCTTGTCAGCACTTGTTATTGTCTGTATTTCCTATTTTAGCCATCCTAGTGAATTTAAAGTAGTGTCTCAGTGTGGTTTTGATTTGGGTTTCCCTGATGACTGATGACACTGAGCAGCCTCTCACCTGCTAATTGGCCACTGTGCCTGCTGCAACTTTATAATTGGAATATGTTTGAAAAAAAGCATATACGGCATCCATTTTCATTTAAAAGAGCAATTATACAGTCTAATCCAGGTAACCATTACCCACATCAAATAAAAGAACATTGCCAGGACCCCAAAAGACCGCTAGGTGACCCACGCCAGTCACATTCCTTCACCCCCACGGGGAATGATGCTGTCTTGATATTTGGGACCCTCGTTTCTTTCTTTTTATTATTCCCAGTACTGTCTCCCTGTGGATGCCTTCCGAAACAATGCAGTCTCGTTTTGCCTGCCTTTGAATTTGATACAAATGAAATCATTCTGTGGAAATCATTAATGACTTTCTTCTTTCCCTCCACACTGCATTTCTGAGATTAGTCCCTGTTAGTGTAGCTTGCTGTAACTATTCATTGTCACTGCCCTATTGTGCTCCTTTGAATGCACATACCCTCGTTTATCCATTCACCAGGGACGGTCATCCGGATGGCGCCCAATGCCAAGCTATTATGAACATTGCTGCTGTGAACATTCTTGAACCTGCTTCCTGTGCGCACACAATGATTCTCTAGGCTATGTACATGTATCTTAGAAGCAAACCGTCTGAGTCAGAGATGTGTATCTTTATTAGATATGGAAAATGGGTTTCCATATCTGCCCTGTGTCCGCACCCCAGCAGTGGATGAACCTTCCAGGTGCTCAGCTTCCTCCAGCGCTTGGTATTGTCACCGTCCCTTTTGAATGCCCACAGGCATCTCTGTATTTAAGTCTCGGCTGTGATAGAATCTCAATCAACCAAGCCCTAGTTCCTCAGAAGTGCCTGCCTAATCCTGCCCACAGTGTGCTCAGTCACACCTCTGAACCTTTGTTCTTTCTCCCTCTTCTTAGGCCAAGGCCAAAGGTGGGCCGAACACAGGGGAACTATCCCCTCACCAACAGGGACGTCCGTGTTATTTTGGGAACACTCTATCTGAAGGGGCTGTGTAGGTGGTCGTGTGAGAGTGCTGGCATGCGGGAGGTGCTCTGTGTCCTGGAACCCAGGCAGTCCTCTTCTTGAACATTCTAGATGCCTGCAGCATCACTGGCCCAGCTGATTATAAGTATTGAGGTTGAAATGTGCCGCCCCCCACCTTCCCGGTGGTTCTGTTGACCAAGCCCTGGTTACCTCGCCTGGAAACAAAGCTCTGGGGAGTGGGGGGACTCTGAACATGAAGCCATCCTTGGGGTCAGAGAACTTATCTTATATCTCTGCATCCCCAGCTTCCCAAACGGGCCAGGGCCAGAGGCAAAACTAGTGATGGTTTTTGGAATGTCTGATTGTGTTCCAGCACCCTGACTTTCATCAGGAAAGATGGAAGTGTCTTCACTTTATGTTAGAGTTAAGGAAACTGAGGCCCAAGGAGGGAGTGGGACATTGCCAAGGTCGCATACCAAGTAAGTGGCTGGCAAGCACTTAATTCACACCCCGCAGCTGCAAGCCCCTTGCCTCAGAATGTCTCACAGACCAGCTCTCAGACTTAGTCGAGCCTCAGAGGTTTAAACTTTTCCGTAAAATGGAAATATAATTATACCAACTTCACGCAGTTAAATAAGATGCCATATATGAACACGCAGGCCCCGTGTGTGTAATTAATGCCCGTCAGTTACTCATTCATTCATATATTCTTTCACAGGCAAAATATAACTAGCAAAGCATTTTGATAGTCTGAGTGAAGGACTTCACTGTTCAGACTTTGCTTCAGCAACTGTGCTCACCGGTTTCCCTCATCCCCAGACACACTAGGACAGTGGTTCTCAACCTTCCTAATGCCGCGACCCTTGAATACAGTTCCTCATGTTGTGGCGACCCCAACCATAACATTATTTTCGTTGCTACTTCATAACTGTGATTTTGCTCCCATTATGAATTGTAATGTAAATATCTGATATGCAGGATATATTTAGGCGACCCCTGTGAAAGGGTTGTTTGACCCCTGCGCTAGAAACTCAATAAATGTCTATTAGGATGAAATCAGGCTGAAGGAAAAAGGACGGAAGAGAATTGAGCCCCAAAGATATTTCCTTCCATGTTACTTATAGTTGAAGAAAAGGAAGAAAAGGAGGGAGGAAGGAAGGAAAGAGAAAGAGAGGGAAAAAATGTGTTTGTTTGTTTTTTTAAAAAGCATCTTGAAAACAAACTAAATATCCTGTACTATGAGGGGTTTGGTAAAATGTTGCCTTCTTTCATTGCTGAGATATTCTGAAATAGCAAGATATGGTTCATGGGCCAACTCTGGTCCACTGTCTACATATGTAGGTAAAGTTTATATAAAAAACATCCATTAGTTTTGTCAATTCTTGAACTTCATGTGAGTGGAATCGTAAACTGTGTTCTCTTTTGTGCTCAACTTCTTTGACTTAACATTGCTCTTAAGGATGCTTTCTTCTCCCTGTGTGTATTAGTCATTCATCTTTCCTCATTTCTGTGTAGGATCCCACCGTGAGATTATAAGGAGGTACTATTGTTACCCCCATTCTATATGTGGGGAAGCTGTTTCACAGAGGGCTGAAGTGGACTCTCCAAGGACACACAGCAGGTTCATGGTAGATCCAGGTTTTAAATCCTAGGTCCAGAATCAGTATGTGCTTTTTCCCTACTTTTATACAGTGCTGCCTCTTACACTAGGATGATGGAAACCCAACAGATATTGGGAACTCAGAAGAAGGGGTATATCATCCAGCATGAGGGGATGAGGAAGGCTGCCAGGGAAGAGTCACTCAGAAGCATGGTTCCCAGGCTCAGATCCCCACAGGGCCTGGCAGGTATCATAAATGCCCAAAGCAGATGACCTCTGAGAAACCGCAGCTCAATCAAGGAGGCAATAGGGAGTAGTGAGGACTGTGGCAAATTGAGAAACGCCAACCTGCGAAGTAGGCAGCTGCTGATGTAGCTGTAAGTATTGTTGCCATGTGACAATGCAGTGAGCCAGAACACAATGAGATGTCCACGCTGCCTTTTGGAGCCAGCTTCTATGCCAGCAGGTCAGCACCCAACTGTATCATTTACTAAACATTTTCAACATCGCCCCAGTGTTACCAGATGCCTCTTGTTTGCCCCCCAAAACCTGGAAGTCTGTCTTTCTCATTGTTTTTAAATGTTGGTTTAAAATTGATTTTAAACCTGTGTAGGCCGAAGAGAACTTACATGTGGTCTGGATATGTCCCTATATGGGGGCTGGATTGGTCTCACTGCCAGTTTAGGGACCATATAGGAGTTGAGAGGCAACTAGGGCAAGCTAAGGGAAAGGCACAGCACAAGGGCCAGAAGAGAGAGGGATCAGAATCCAAGTCTGAGTTTCTAGCCAAGTTGGGTAGGGAGTGGGCCAGGCTGGAGTCCACACTCAGCCATCCATGCAGTGACCTGTGCTGTGCTCTTCCCCACCCACCCCTGCAGATCCTGGAGGAGAACATGAAGCTGGAATGTAAGTGCCACGGTGTGTCCGGCTCGTGCACAACCAAGACTTGCTGGACCACCTTGCCGCAGTTTCGGGAGCTGGGCTATGTGCTCAAGGACAAGTACAACGAGGCTGTTCACGTGGAGCCGGTGCGCGCCAGCCGCAACAAGCGGCCCACCTTCCTGAAGATCAAGAAGCCGCTGTCATACCGCAAGCCCATGGACACAGACCTGGTGTACATCGAGAAGTCCCCCAACTACTGTGAGGAGGACCCGGTAACCGGCAGTGTGGGCACCCAGGGCCGCGCCTGCAACAAGACGGCCCCCCAGGCCAGCGGCTGCGACCTCATGTGCTGTGGCCGCGGCTACAACACCCACCAGTATGCCCGCGTGTGGCAGTGCAACTGTAAGTTCCACTGGTGCTGCTACGTCAAGTGTAACACCTGCAGCGAGCGCACCGAGATGTACACGTGCAAGTGAGCCCGGCCTGCACGCACCCCGCCCGCCGGCTGCGAGTTAGACAGCAGGGAGGACCAGACAGTTTCTGAACCACGTGCTCCCCGACAGGGTCGCTGCCTGGATCTTCGCGGGGAACCACAGGAACGCTGAGCTTGTCTTTTCTGCTGAGGAAGGCACTTCTCCTGGGTTTCCTGCAGGCACCTGTGGGAACACTCTCTCAGAGCCCTGGACCATTCTGTTCCACACCCAATGCTGCTCCGCCCTCCCCCAGACACCGCCCAGGCCCCTCCGTGGCTGGAGCGGAGCCTTTCACGGCAGGAACTCTGGACCTGTGGGCCTCATCCTAGCAATATTTAACAATTTATTCTGATAAAAAAATAATATTAATTTATTTAATTAAAAAGAATTCTTCCACTTCGTCGGGATCCGTTTTCTGCAATCAAAGTGGACCGCTTGCTTTCCTAGTGGGATGACTTTTGTCACTAGGATTAGGAGCCGAGTAGAACTGTACATAATTTTTCGTGATGCAGATATTTCTACCTGTCAAATACCCTCCTTGAGGCACTGGATGTTTAAGGAGATGCCACATCTCCTGTTTAAGAGAGAGCAGGCATCCTTTATACATACACACACACACACACACACACACACACACATTTGTATTTTTTTGCTGTTTGCTGCTACTTATTTAGAAATTTGAGCTGGTCCCAACTTGGAAGTGTTTTTTCCAGAATATCTTTCCCATCCTTTTGCCGCCCCCCCCCACCCCCGCCCAGTTTAAATCTCACCACTAGAAAAATCCAGTTTGGAATACATAGAAAGAGGAAAGATAATAATAAACTCCCAAAAGTTTCTGTCTTTTGAAAAGTGAGCCACTGGATAAGAGAGTATATTTTGTAAGAAACTATTTTTATATGAACATCTTATTTATATCAAGTCTGCCTGTATCAATCCATGGCCTGTGCTTCTTTTTAATGCTGATTCTCACTCTGGGCTAAAGAGGGGTGAGGCCTGGGAGTGGGGTCCAGCCCCCACAGAGACCTCACATAGCTGGGTTCTGGAGTTCCGTTTTCCAAGTGGGCAAAAGCCATCCCTGGGTGCCTGAGCTGAGGCCTCATCTCATCGGTATTAACTGGGAAAGAAATCAAATCCCCAGCTCCAGCCTGTTACACTCAGGCCTGTTCAGCAGGGTCACTGAGTAGTGGCCCCAGAATGAGCCATTGTGGTGGGTGGGTGTTGTCTCCATCTCCGGCACTGGGCTGTCATCACCTGGCAGAGGCCAGCTCAGGGACCCCCACACTCCACCAGGACCCTCTGACCATTGCCTCTGTCCCCAGAGGTGAGGTTTTGTCCTCATATAAATTTATTTAATGAAAAAGAATTCTTCCACTTCTTATTTAAGTGCAAGAGCAGGCATCCTTTATACATATATGAAGTCCTCTGCTATGCTCCTGTATGAACCGGTACCTGTGTACCTCTCTCCATGTGCCTGGGAGGTTAGGGCTTGTGCGTGTAGCTGTGTGCCTGTGCACCTGCTGGTCCCCAAGCTGTCTCTGTTTGCATGTGAGAGTTTATGATGTGAGGCTGACAGTAGAGACCTCATGTGATTGTGTGGAACCACCAAGAGATGGCACCTCTGAACTCTGTCCCCACAGCTACTGGTGAAGCTCAGATACCTCTGAGACTGCAGCACCACAGCCCCACATGCTAGGAGCCCCTCAGCATCCAGGCTGTGTCTGACTCCCCAGTTTCAGCCTGGGCCTGCATCATAGCATGGAACACTGGTTGTTTGGTTTTTTCCCTTGGGCCCTTTTTGGTTTCATTTTCCCTTTCCTTGGGTGTCTGGGTGAATTGGCACGTGAAGGAGTGCTGAAGTGAATGGATAGGATGGAGGATGGGTGAGCAGATACGTGGACGGATGAGTGAGTAGGTAGATGGCTGGATGGATAGTCAGGTGGGTGGATGGATGGGTAGATGAATGGATAGGACAATGGGTGGGTAGATGGATGGGTGGATAGGGTAAGGAGTTTCTTGGAAGTCCCAGGTCACATTTTATCTCTGTCTTGGAAAACATACAGTGTCTCCATTGAGCAATGTGGCTTTCCAAGCCTGCAGTCCCTCTGGTTCTGACCTCATTGGCACTTGGGGATGGGGGAGGTTCTAATCAGCCTTCTTGGATAACTGTTTAATGTTATTACATAAGTATGATCTCATACAGATCACCTCTGTGTCCTCCTTACCTGTCCAGGTGAAGAGTGGTCCTGAAAGCAGCTGGGCCTGCAAGAACAGCCATGCCAGTCACCTGCCAGCGTGTCACTGGCCTGTCCTTTGTCTGGGTATCCAGCTCAGCTGTGCTGTGGGCCTCAGTTTCTCCACCTATAAAATCAGGATAGTACCTATTTCGCCAGGCTGTTGTGAGGGTCGTACTGGGAATGAACATTGGCACTCTGAGCTGTAAAGCAATGGGTGAATACAAAATACCGTTAACTATTATTACCACCATCATTACTTTTCTCTCCCCAATTATTGGATTCTTCAATCCCTACAGGTTACGGGAATAAATATTTGGTTCTGTGTTAGGCAAATGTATTTCCCTGACTTTGTTCTATTCCTAAAGTGGCTTTTCAACAAGGTAGACATTAAAAAGGCCAAAATCTTAAGAAGCTGAGTCAAAAAATCAAAAAGCCCAGGACTAGCATGTTGAAAACACAGGTATCTGAACTCTGTGCAGGAGCACAGTTACAGAAAGTAAGCTGCTCTGTAGCAGCCGTGCATCTGGGCCCTGCAGAATGTGGGCCTCGGCATGGCCAAACCCTCTGATTTTTCAAGAAAGGGTGAACATGCAGGTTTTTAAGTAAACTCTCCCACTTTTTCAGGATGTGAACAAACACCAGGAGGATAAAGCAAAAAATGACTTGGCCTTTGTGCTTCTAGTGTGTAGTCGCTAACTTATTTTAGAAATGGAGAAACTGAGGCCCAGAGAGGGGCAGAGCTTTACTCAAGATCACACAGCAAGTCCAGCAAAGGGAAGAAGAAGCCCAGGACTCGGGCCTCCTTGGGATGGCCTTTCACCAACACAGTGCACTAACAGAGGCAGCAGTATGTTGGGGTCAGGGCTGGGAGGGATGGAGCTCCACACGCGCCCTCTCTGGCCTTGAGTTTAAAAGTAGTTTAAGGTTCCAGGGGGAAGAAACTGGGCTTTCACAAAGCCCTGAGGGATGAGCTGGCACCTGAATCACTCCACTCCATAGGGGGTGCACAGCCCCCTGGCCAAGAGGATGACTTAGCAAGACCTGGGTCTGCAGAGTCCTGGGGAAATGTCTGGAGGCTGGCTTGATGGGGCATGAGACCCAGGGAGACCTAGAGGAGGCTGTGACATTCTTCCTGGCTGAGAGATGATGGCAGCCAGAGTCAGTGATGAGGGTGAGTGGGTAGTGAGGAAACTCATGGGGTGCCCTGGGGAAGAACTTCCAGAGCTTGGTGGCCTACTGGGTATGCCCAACAAAAGGGAGGGAGGGGGGAGGAGGGCTCCTCTTCCCCGAGATGGAGCCATCCCCTGCACACTTTGAGGCAAGTCCAAGACGTGGTTCCTGAGCCTCTGGAAAGCCTCTTCTTCCCACTTTATAGATGAGGACCAACCTCAGAGAAGAGACTACAAGTAAGGGTGTCCAGGCTGTCCCACATTGGCACTTGGTCCTGAGGCTTCTGTCACTTCAAATGGAGACTTGAGGAAGATGGAGAGAAAAGATCCAGGCTGTGCAGGCTGTCCCAGCCAAACACAGGCTGCCCCCCCTCCCTCCTGCCTCCTCCCCCCTCCCGCCCTCTTGTTGGGCACACCCAGTGGGCCACCAAGCTCTGGCAGTTCTTCCTTTGCACGTGCTGTTTCCTCTGACCTTCACATTCCAGAAAGACTCAACTGCCAACACTTCAGGACATACCTCCAACCAGCCTGGCTCCCAGGACTCCCATCCACTATTTTAGTTTCTTTGTGGCTCTTCTCACTACCTGAAATGGTATTTCTCATATGTTAGAGGCTGCACAATATAGTTATATAGAGCATGACCCTGGAGCCAGATTCCCTGGGTTCAAACTTGGCTGAACCCAGGCTGTGTGGTGTCGGGTGAGTAACATAACCTTTCTGTGCCTGTATTTCCTCATGTGTAATCTGGGGGCAGTAATAGGATTATCACAGTGATTAAATGAGTTAACACATGTAAATTGCTAACTGCAGCCCTGGCACACTGTGAGGGTGTGAAAGTGTGAGCTTTGTGTATTCATGTGGTCATTAAGTTTCATGAGAGCAGGACTTTGTCTGTTTTTGTGGCTGCTGGGTCCCCGGTGCCCAGCACACAGTCGGGGTTAATAAATATTTGTTGAATACAAATGAATGAGATCCGGAGACTGTTCCCAGACTCACCAGACTCCCTGCCTGGGCTAAGGCAGCTGTCAGAGTGGAGGGACTAGAGGACAAGCTGAGGGACAGGGGCCGGTGGGGGAGTGGGCACAGATAAAGCCCCCTCAATGTGGTCACAGGCACATCTGCCCCATTGACAGGACAGCCACTGGTTGCCACAACAACGCTCCTAGCCCCAGAAGAATGTGCTGGAGACAAAGGAAGAGCTCAGCAGCCACCCCCCAGCTGAGCCCCAGAGATGGCAAGCAGCCCCCAACCCAGAGAAAGCTCACACCACACATGCGCATGTGGGTACACACACACACACACACACACACACACACACACACACGGGGTCACTGAGTAAGGACCCACACAGCCAAAGGAAGTGCAAACCACATCAGCCACGGTCAGTGCTCCAGACAGACCCCCACAGCAGGCTCTGAGAAACACACAGTCCACCTGAAGGGGTTGTGTGCTCCATCCAGACTCAGACTGCAGACCGGGGCTCAGGGGAGGACTGGGCAAACCTGTCCCAAATGGGGGCCTTGGCTTGACCTTCACCTGTTCACCTGTAGACCCTCGCACCTGCTCAGTTGCAGGCATATATGTGTGTATGTGTATGAGT